GTTCCACAGGATGAGTGAGACACTTGGAGGGGAAGTTGCAGATGGTGTTCCCACGCATTTGTTGTCCTTATCTTTCTACGTGATAAAGATTGTGGATTTGGAAGGTGCTGTTGAAGGAGTTCTGCAGTGCATCTTATTGTACATATTGCTGTCATTGTGCACTGGTGGTGAAAGGAGTGAACTTTGGAGGTGGGGACAGAGTGTCAAATAAGTGGCTTCTTTCTGTTGGATGGTGTCAAATTCCTTGAAGCTGCAAACATCCAGTCAAGTAGAGACCATCTCATTACATCCCTGACTAGTGCCCTGTAGACTGTGAGCAGACCTTGGTGAGACAGGAGGTGAGTTAGTCATTGTAGAATTCCTAGTCTTTGACCTGCTCTTGGAGCCACAGTACTTTTATGGCTGGTCAAATTAAGTCTCTGGTCAATGGTAACCCATCCGCCTAGAATATTAACAGTAGAGGTTCAGCAATGGTGATGTTACTGAATGTAAAGGTGACTCTATTCTCTCTTGTTGGAAATAGTCATCACTCTGCCATTGTGCAGAATGAAGGATATTTGCCAGTGATCCAGCCCAAGCCCAGATGTTGTAGATCATGATGCATAAAAACACCTAGGAAATAGGAGCAAGATTAGGCTGTTCACCACAATGAGCCTGCTCCGCCAGTTAATATGGCCATGGCTGATCAAACACTATTTGCCTTTTACTCACACTATGCCCATAACCCTTTACACCATTGATAATCAAAAGATTATCAATCACTACTTAAAGCACACTTAAAGACTGAACTTCCATAGCCTTTTGGAGTAGGCAATTCCAAAGATTTCCAACCCTTTGAGTAAAATAACAAAAAAAAGAAACAAACAAACATTCTCCTGAGTGACATCTCCCTTATTTTCAAATTCTGCCCCTGTTCGAAAATCCCTAACCGGGAAACATTGTACTTCTATCTACACTGTCTATTCCTTTAATTATTTTGCGGGTTTCAATGAGCACTTCTCATTCTTAAAAACTCTAGATAGTTCAAGCCCAGTTTGCCCAATCTCTCTTCACAGGTCGGTCTCACCATCTTGGGAACAAGTTGGTAAATCTTTGCTGCACTCCTTCTATGGCAATATCATCCTTCTTGAGATAAAGAACAGTACCACTACTCACAGTATTCCAGATATAAACTAAGCAAGCTCCTATTCAATTATGTAAGAGTTCACTGTTTCTGTACTCAAAACTCTTGCAATAAAGGCCAACATCCCAGTAACCTTCCTAATGGCTTGCTGAACCTACATGTCAGCCCTCATTAACAAGGACATCACAGTCCCTTCGCAGATCTACATTTTTCAAACTCTCACCATTTACAAAATACTCTGCGATCTGTTCTTCCTACCAAAGTGGACAGCCTCACGTTTTTCCACAATGTACTCAGTCTGCCACGTTCTTGCTTATCCAATCACAAAGCTTGTCCAAATCCTCCTGAAAACATTTTACATCTTCCTCCCAATACTCTTTACTGCTTAGCTTTGTATCATCTACACACTTGAAATCAATTTGGTCCCGACGCCCAAATCATTAATACATATTTTGGACAGCTGGACCCAAACACTAATCCTTGAGGTACACCACTAATTCCAGTCTGCCAACGCAAGAATGTCCCATTTATTCCTACCGTCTTCTGTCTTTTAGCCAATCATTAACACATGCCAGTACATTACCTCTTATAATGTGCTTTAATTTTGCAAAAAACCTCCCTTGGGGGAACCTTACCAAAAGACTCTGAAAATCCAGATAAACTACGCCCATCAAATCCTCTATTAATTTTGTAACGTCCTCAAAAAATAACCAATAAGCTTGTCAAATATGATTTTCTATTTGCAAACTTATGCAGACTCTGCCAAGTTAGATCTTTTTAATTCAAGGGTCCATTTATCACATGCTTCACAATTGGGAAATTGCTGGAATATACCACTGATGCAAGGCTAACAGATTTATCGTGCCCTTTTTCTCCCCCCTCCTTTCTTTCTTAAATAGTAGGGTAACATTTGCACAATTTTAAATCTTCAGGAATCATTGCAATTCTATAGAATTTTGGAAGATAATCAACAATGCATCAATGATCTCTACAGGCATCTCCTTCAATACTTTGGGATGTAGTATTTACCAACTTTGGGCCCCATTAATATCTCCAGTACAACATACTAATTTTCACAAATTTCCTTCAAGTTCTAATTTTCTTCAGTCATGCAAAATCTATTTCTTTTTTAAATATATTCTATAATTTGGCATCCACAGACTTCTGTGGTGGAGAATTCCACTAGCTCACCATCCTCTGTTTAAGAAAATTCTCCTAATTTCAATCCAAAATGGTCTACTGCAAATCTTGAGACTATGTCTCTTTGTTTGGAACTCCCAGTCAGGGAAACATCATCTCTGCATCCAGACTATCCAGACCTATCGGAATTTTGTATGTTTCACTGAGATCCCCTCTCATTCTTCTAAAAACCAGTACATACCGGCCCAGTTCACCAACTGCTCCAATGACAAACCTGTCTTCCCAGAAATCAGTATGGTAAATCTTTGCTGCACTCCCTCTTTGGAAAGTATATCTTTTCTCAGACAAGGAAATCAAAACAGCAAAACTCCAGCTGTAATCACCAAGCCCCTGTATAGGGCCAGTAAGACTTCCTTGTGCCTGTTTGCAAACCTTCTCGCAATGAAGGCTAATGTACCAATTACCTTCCTAACTGCTTGCTGTACACATGCTTTCAATGATCAGTGCACAAGGACATCCAAGTTTCTTTCTTTTTAAATCAACCTTTCCCAAACAATTGCCATTTAAACAACATTCCCTTTAAGCTGGATGTCTGCACTCCCCAATCGGCATACCAACGCTGCTTTTGGTTTCAGAAGTTCCTGCTACACATGGGCCTCGAAGGTTCACACAGAAGGAAAGGAAAGAGGCAACAGAGCATTTAAATGATACTCTGCCATTCTGTTTTTCCTTCCAAAGGAATAACTTCACATTTATCCATGTTATACTGCATCGACCATGTATTTGCCTATTCACTTAGCTTGTCCAAAATCACCTTGAAGCCTCTTTACCACTCTCAATCCCACCTAGCTTTGTGTTGCCAGCAAACTTAGAAGTACTACACTGTTGGAAATCTCCTCAGGGAAATCGCTGATATGTACTATGAACAGCTGGGGCCCAGGCAGTGATCTCTGGAATACCCCACAAGTCACCACCTTCACTCCAAAAAAATCCATTTATTCCCACTCTGTTTCCTGTATGTTAATCATTTTCCAACCTATGCCTGTACATTAACAGCAATCTCATTTAGTTTGATGTCGCACAATAATCTCTTATTTAGGACATTAAAAAAAAGTTCTGAAAATCCAAACACATGACACGCACTCATTCTCCTACATCTATTCTTCTAGTTACATTCTCAAAAAATTCACAGTAGCTCTATCAAACATGATTTCTCTACCATAAATCCAAACTGACTAGTACTTTTTTTTAAAAAGTGCTAGCAAATTGGAAGTGAAAACTGAAAAATCCTCAGATATCAGAACTGGTTCGTCATACAACCGAGTTCTTCTAGCACCTAGTTTCTTTCTGGGGCTGGCTTCTTGTTCTGCGCGATAATTTAATGCACTTGCTTTAAGAAAAATGCAGCCACATTTACAGGTATTACATCCTTTGCAATGGACTCCAACATTTTCCCTACCACGGTCAGTAATTCCAGGTTTTCACCTTCTCTCTTAAAAACAGTGAGTTTACATTTGCTACCCTCCAACTTACTGAAACTGTTCCAAAGTCAACAGAATTTTGGAAGATGACAACCAACACATTCACTTTCCATGGCCACCTCCCTTAGTACCCTAGGATGGGCTAGTGGTATTATCACTGGACTATTAATCCAGAGACCCAGATAACGTTCTGGGGACCAAGGTTTGAATTCCGCCACTACAGATGGTGAAATTTGAATTCAATAAATATCTGGAATTAAGGGTCTAATGATGGCCATGAATCCATTGTCAATTATTGGGAAAAACCCATCTGGTTAACTAATGTCCTTTAGGGAAAGAAACTGCCATCCTTACCTGGTCTGGCCTACATGTGAATCCAGACCCACAGCAATATGGTTGACTCTTAACTGCCTTCTGGGCAATAAATGCTGCCTATCCAGCGACGTCCTCATCTCATAAATGAATTTTAAAAAATCATGCACTGGGGATTTATCAGCTTTTACTCCCACTAATTTTGCTGGCAATTTTTGGTTTTAAATACTAATTTTTTTCAACTACTCATTCTCAAAAGACCCTTGCTTATACCACACATTTGGGAAATTTCTTCTGTCTTCTTCTGTGAAGACAGAACAAAAGTAGTGTCCATTTTGAAATGAAAACAGACACTCAGCAGGTCTAACCAAGTCACTGGGCGTATTTAAGACAAGAGATAGATAGGTTCTTGAATAGTAAGGGGATCAGGGTTAGAGGGAGAAGGCGGGAGAATGGGGTTGAGAAAAATTTTAGTCATAATTGAATGGCTGAGCAGACTCAATGGACTGAATGGCCTAATTCTGTTTCTACATCATATTGACTTTTGATGAGTCACTGAATTCTAAACGTTAACTCTGCTTTCTCCCCATAGATGCTACCAGACCTGTCGAGTTTCACCAGCAATTTCAGATTTTGTTTCAAAACAGCAACTACATTTGTTCTGTCTTCACAGAAGAAGACACAACAAACTTCCCATAAGTGCAAAGCAAGCAAGTGTCTTTTGTGAATGAGGAGTTGAAGGAAATTAGTACTTTTTTTAAAAAGTGCTAGCAAAATGGAAGTGAAAACTGAAAAATCCCCAGATATCAGAACTGGTTCGTCATACAACCGTGTTCTTCTAGCACCTAGTTTCTTCCTGGGGCTGGCTTCTTGTTCTGTGCGATAATTTAATGCACTTGCTCTAAGAAAAATGCAGCCACATTTACAGGAATTGTTCAACTTACATGGAATAAACGCTGTACTCCTGGTGCCAGTCTTTCTGCCTTTATGATCCACAGCACAGGTCTGGGAGAATTCAGCACAAATACCAAAGGCTTCTCATGGACTTCAACAGAGAAAATGGGTCTCAAGTTCAGTGTCACCTTTGGAGATGAAGCGAAAAAGAAATAGCATCATTTATTTAGTGCAGAAAGTTTGTTCTTTCATGTAACATTCATTGCACAGTTTCATGCAACTTTCATTACTGATACTATTGTGAATGATTAGTGAACTAGAAAGTAGTTCTTTTCACAAAAAAATTGTGGACAAGATTTTTCGCAATAAGATTTACCTAGTTCCCCGATTTTAAATTGTGATTTAAATCATGTTTGATGAACTACAAACTATGGAGAATGAAGCATGTTACTGATTCAGTATTATATTTCAAATTAACTTTGTGATGAACTACATTTTTCTTCTCATCGCCAAGTTGCTCAATCTTTCACAAAACAAAATTGATGCCACTGCTCCCAGATATCTTGCAACGGTCAATGTCTCCTTGACAAGTTTTACTGCTCTATAGGTAATTTTCTTATTTTGATGACCAACTCACCAAGTAGGGAACCCAAGTGTGGCATATAATTAACGTGTACATAAGAACATTAGTAGGCCATCCAGCCCCTCAAGCCTGCTCTGCTATTCAAGAAGATCATGACTGACCTGTGATCTAACTCCATATGCCTGCCTTAGGCCCCTGTCTCTTGAAATCATTGCATAATAAAAAATTGTCCATGTCAAATTTAAATTTGACAATTGAATTAGCATTGGCCACTATTTGAAGAAGAGAGTTCCAAACCTCTACTACTCTTTGCATGCAGAAGTACTTTCTAATATCTCCAATCAATGGCCTAATTCTTAGACTATGTCACCTGGTTGTAGAATCTTCAATCAGTGGAAATGATATCTTGATATACCCTGTCTTTCCCTGTTGATATCCTGAAGACCTTGATTAGATCACCTCTTAACCTTCTAAATTCTAGAGTAAAGGCCTAAGTTGCCTAATTTCTTCTCATAACTTAACCTCTGAAGTCCAGATGTCCTCTTTGTAAACATGGTGTTGAACTCATCCAGGGCCAAAACATCCTTTCGAAGGTGTGGTGCCCAGATCTGCTCACAGCACTCTGAAGTGGGGACTAGCTAGGGTTTTGTATAACTGCAGCATTATGTCTGTATCATCATACTCCAGCCCTCTAGGTATGAAGGTCAGCATTCCATAAGCCTTCTTGGCTATTTTCTGCACCTGTTCATGGCATTTTAAAGAGCTATGCACCTGAACCCTCAGATCTCATTGGAGATCCAATGTATTTAACTTTGTGCCTTCTAGTTTAATTTTACTAAGATACAGCAGCATGCAACACCAAGAGTGTATTCTCAACATAAAAAGCCAGCTACTTAAATGTAGTTTTATAACATGGTAAATTGAATAATTACTACTTAGAAGTTTTAACATGCAATTATAGTATTAATGTACAATAACCACCACAGGCAAATGCCAGGTTTTAGACTAACAATTGCATTCAAAGAAGTTGTGCTTCTTAAGCTACGATGTTGAAAATGATATAGTAGGATATTGGTCATCTGGCACAAACTGTGTTCCTCTGCTGTGTTTAGCTTTCAAAGTTGTCCCAAAAGGGATATGTCTGAAAAGCCTCCATTCATCCAGACAAGATCTGTCTTCGCAACTAACCATTCTCACTGCCAGTTAGATAGTATTTTAGTAAATCAGCGAAGAGTATATAATGCATTGCAAATTTAAGGCCACAACAGAACCAAATTCTGTAGTGCTTTCTTCCCTAACAGACACTCCCTAATAGGATCTTTTTGTTGACTTGATCATGAAGTTACAACCACTTGGTATTGTGATCCTAAGCTTTTTTTTCTAACCATGACCTTAACATACATGATCACAAGGATTAGAGCTGTTGTAGACACTACAACGCAGAGACGTGCTTACTGGAAAGAAATCATGAGGTCACAAAGGCTCTGTAAACCTTGGGGATATTTACAAATATTTGTTTGCTCTGTATTTGACAGAAAGGAAAATTACATTTAGTACTTTGTATAAATGTAGTGTATCACAAAACTCTACAATGACATCAAAATCAGTGCCTATAACTCAAAGATTTCCAGTCACTTTCTGTTATTTCCTATGCTCCATACAGATTCTGTTTGTCTATTCTACTCAGATAATAGCAACAAAATCAGAACAAACTTTTCTTCAGAGGCCCCATAATAGACATACTTAATGTCAAAAGGCCAAAGACAGCTGCACAAGTTTCTGTTTCCCAGGAGATGATGGTTTCATGGAAGACTGAGAATTGCCACAGCAACCAAACTATAAAAACAATTCTGAGTCAGGCCTCCAGATTCTGTTAAAGTAATTTGTATTGTATCACAAGAGCAAGACAGAAACGTTGAAAATGATCAAAGTAAACAAGGCCATTAAAATGTCATTTTGTTTCTACCTTAAAAACAAGTCACAACCTGGAACTGTGTTAGAACAGATGAAAGCAAGTGCAACCAATTTGTAAGCTGACTAAAGAGTTTCCACTGACAAGAGTCTAGTGATAAACCCCTCGGTGGATTATGCATAACAACTATTCCAAATTTACATTAATCGACTGGCTTGGAAACATTCTTAGTTATATCAAGTTTCGCTGCAACACAAGCTGTCTACACTTCAACAGCTGTTGCATGCTGAACTACAAAAAATTATTTTCAGACAAATATTTCTTTAGAAGTCATACAGAAATGAAATGTTTTAGTCATGCGGTAATGATACAAAATATCTTACACTGAAATGGTAAGGGAGACTGATGGATGTAACAAAAATGGTAAAATGTATTTTCCTGACATTATGTTATTACTGTTTAAAAGGTATCTAACAAACATTGATTAAATGATACCAATTGGAATATCACAAATTACAGTTGCAGAATGCTGATCCACACGTATCCAAACGTATTACTACAGCCTCTTTATACATATGTATACAGAGAAATCTATGCATTTTGTTTTGTTGCAGTCCTGCCAAGCTACATTTTATTGTTCTTCACTGAAATGTGACAGCATGTTTGAAAGCTCATATTTTCAAACTCACATTGTCTACTGTTTAACCTATTTTGATAGATCCTCCAGCAGCAAGAAAATCTGTTTTTTTTTTAATCTTCCTTCCAGTATTGCGTCTGTTCTACTTTTAATGTTTCATTTCCTCACATTCCCCGAGACAACTCCTTTGCAGCCTTTTCCCTCTGACAAATGTGTCTCCTTTTTATAGCTGCTCAAAGTTGGTTCTGAGTAGATGGACCATGAGGAAAGGAATACTATAACAAAGGCGCTGGACTGAATTTGCATCTGATTAGAAACTAGGTTTCCTTCTGCTGATAGTGTCCCATATGATGGTTTTTCAAAAAAAACATGATTTCAATATAGTTGCTAAAGATGGAACAGGAGAGAAGGGTGGTCATAAGTTAAACATGAAGCAGCCATATACAAAATGTTGTGGCACAGTGGCTCAGTGGTTCGCACTGCTGCCTTTCAGCACCAGGGACCCAGGTTTGATTCCACCCTCAGGCAACTGTCTGTGTGGAGTGTGCATGTACTCCCCTTGAGTGCATGGGATTCCTCCGGGTGCCCTGGTTTCCTTCCACAGTCCAAAGATGTGCAGGTTAGGTGGATTGGCCATGCTAAATTGCCCAAAGTGTCCAGGAATGTGTAGGTTAGGTGGATTAGTATGGGAAATGCAGAGTTACAGAGATAGGATCGGGGGTGGGATGCCCTTCGGAGGGTCGGTGTGGACTTGCTAGGCCAAATGGCCTGTTTCCACACTGTAGGGACACAATGGCTTACGAGGGAGGTTTGTTCATAGTATGTATTCACCAAAGGCAATGATAGGAAGTTCTGAATGTGCTTTAGAGGTTACCTTCAGACAAGAACTATTTCTAGTGTATTTCCTGGGGTGCTTCACATCAACCTTAATTTACTGTATCTTTGCTTGTGGGCCTGCTTGTCTGATTCAGCAGTGCATCCTTCGACATTACCTTCCAAAACCTGCGACCTCTCCCATCTAGAAGATCAAGGGTATCAGGTCCATGGAGATATTACAACAGGTGATTTACAAATGTCTGATTTATAAACACTTATACTTACATGTGATTCTATATAGGGGTGTATTAATATTAAAGATTTGACAGATGAATGTTTCGTTGTACTTACAAATGTGTATTGTCCTACATTGTCTTCCAACTTGTACAAATCAACTTATGAGCTGACTCAAAAATTGAACCCGTTGTAATCCAGAGACAGCATTTACCTGCAAACTTCTCTCCAATTTACACACCATACTGAATAGAAACCAAAAGAACTGTGGATGCTGTAAATCAGGAACAAAAACAGAAGTTGCTCGAAAAGCTCAGCAGGTCTGGCAGCATCTGTGAAGAAAAATCAGGGTTAACGTTTCACATCCAGTGACCCTCCCTCAGAACAACGGTCACTGGACCCAATTAGCTAACTCTGATTTTTCTTCACAGATGCTGTCAGACCTGCTGAGCTTTTCCAGCAACCTGTTTTTGTACACACCATAATGACTAGGAACTAAATGGCCATTCCTTCTCTGTCATTGGATCAAGTTACTAGAACTCCTGTAACACAACCGTGGGTGTTACCTGCCTCCAAGGCTACAGTGATTCAAAATGGTGGCTTATCATTTTCAACCATCATTAGAGATGCACTGCCCACATCCATTCAAAGAATTTTTAAAAGACACTAAATGAGTAGAACAGTTCATGAATATGTCAATAGGTTTCTCTTCCAGATTGCTTCTTCATTTACTACCTTTTCTTGTTTCTCAAAGGCTACTTCAGCAATTGATCTATTTCAATTGCTGCAAAAATTGTTTTTTTGGGCTTTCATAGTTCCATGCATTCTTTCAGTTACTGTTTATCTGACCTTAAAATCAAGATGGTCAGCTGGTAAACTCTTAATGGTTGATGATTACTGTCTCACTCCTATTGGATGGCAAGAATTCTGCAATCACTTTAATCTTTTAAACTTTTATTACTTGTACAAATTTTGGACGCAAAAGTTTTCTCAAGCAAAGTTTGGA